CCACCACCTCCACCACCACCACTACCACCTCCTCCTCCACCAATGAATCCTTGACCCATTCTGTACACTGGGCTTGCAAACAAACCAGAACCCCAAACTTATTAAAATATACACATTGGGGATGGTTATTGATATTTATTATATACAATACATATGTTTGGAGATGTGAATATGTTAATTTGCAGGATTTTCTTTTGATCACAAAGATTTCGCTCTTAAAACAAGCAAACAAAAAACTAAACCAATTGCTATCAAATCGATCCCAATTTATATAGGACAGAGTAGAACTTCCCATAAAGTTTCCAAGGCTGTAATCTCCTTTACAGAAGCAGACTGCCACAGCTTGCTCTTGAGTAGTAGCTAGTGGGTTTGAACCACCAACCTTTGTATAACAGTAGAACCCTTATTAATCACTGCACCACAGTAGTTCCTCTTGGCTTTAGTAGATAGAAGCAATTGTTGACATTAGGTTTTTATCTTTGGTTTTGATAGGGTTTTCACAACATGGTATGATTGGTGTAACTCAACCACGAAAAGTGGCAGCCATATCTGTTGCTCAGAGAGTAGCTGAAGAAATGAAGTGTACATTGGGATCCAAAGTAGGATACCAAGTTCGTTTTGATGATTGCAGCTCTAAGGTACTCAAAATATTTTTTGGTATTCTTTCAAATACTAAAAGCTTACTGAATGGAATAGATAAAGTTAGGGAAGATTTTAATTTTAAAATCTCATATTTTAAAGAAAGAAAGCCTCAGACTAGACTTAGCTTTTGTTGCTCATTGTTAATGTTTTAGTTGACAAGCTGTGTATATTTTTCTTAGGATTCTCTTGTTTTATGTTTTTCAGGATTTGGGCATGTAGGTTAAATTTAACATGTAGTTTAATTTGTATTGAAGTTAGTGCAAATCTGACAACTCTATTTAAAAAAAGCAAATATTTATTAAACATCTATAACTGTATTGTACTGAGTTTTAAATTGTCTTCTTTTTCATAGTTACAATTTGCATATCAGGATTAAGAAATACTCCTTTCTGTTCCTCATTTCTGTCTACAAGTTACACTTCTCATTTACCATTCTCATGAACTACTTAATGTTCTCATTTAGTCATATTAGTGTGATAACTTAATGTTTAAATTTGGAGGAAAATTTGGGAGAAGTAATGAAATTTGGTGGTACTGTAACTTGTAGTATCTTCTGTTTGTTCGTTAGGAAACAGCAATTAAATACATGACTGATGGATGTTTACTGAAACATATTCTGGGAGATCCAAATCTTACTAAATTCAGTGTCATTATTTTGGATGAAGCTCATGAGAGAACTCTAACTACAGTGAGTATTTTAATATATTGAGTTTATATTGTCAAGTATATAGTATACTTTTTGGAGACAGCTTTTTATTGTATACAAAATTGGCTTTTCTTATATTTTAATCTGGTGAAATAAGAATTACCTTGTTAGAATAACAATATATTTTAAATAACCTGACAGTTAAGTTTGTTTTTCTTTCAGGACATTTTATTTGGTTTATTGAAGAAGCTATTTCAGGAGAAATCTCCTAATAGGAAGGAACATTTAAAGGTGGTGGTGATGTCAGCAACTATGGAATTAGCCAAACTTTCTGCATTCTTTGGAAATTGTCCAATATTTGATATACCTGGAAGACTGTATCCTGTCAGAGAGAAATTCTGCAATTTGATTGGTCCACGAGACAGAGAAAATACAGCATATATACAAGCGGTATTTGTTGGCATCCTTTAAAAAAAAAAATTTTGTTGGGGGGCTCTTACAAATCTTATAACACTCATTCAATAATATTAAACACACTTGTACATGTTTCCATCAACATTTCCAAAACAGTTTCTACTTGAGCCTTTGGTATGAGCTCCTCTACTTTTTTATGTCTCTTTTGAATCTATGATTTAAGTTACGTAGTTTGATGATTCATTTGTTCCCTTTACTATTTTAATGACAATCTTGTATGTCCTGGGACTTTGAGAACTTGGTTTTCTGTAAAGCAAGGGAAGATAGTGATGAGGAGGAACTATATTTCCACTAGCATGTTATACTTGTGTTTCTTGTTTTAGATTGTGAAAGTGACCATGGACATCCATTTGAATGAAATGGCTGGAGACATCTTGGTTTTCCTGACTGGTGAGCATTCAGTGTCAGGTTGACAAATGTGTACTCTTTTTGAGAGCAGTGTGTGGCAAGATGATAGAGTGCTACCTCATGTTGGAAATCTAAACTCTTCTCAACTGTTGCCCTGGCTGCTTATTTTTATCTGAGTAGTTTTAGATATAAGATATATGAGGTCATGCTACACTACTATGAGAAATAGCCTTGCTTTGTAGTGAATATGTCTGAAACACATTGATCTTTTAGTAAAAGGATGTTAAGAAGTGAAGTATTATCATTTTTATGGGTCTGTCTTATGTAGAGCTATTCCCAGACGAAATTGTCCTGAGTGAGCGATTAATGCCATATTTCAAAAGACATCCCATCAGCTCCTTTTCTGAATGGTGGTGGGGTGGTGCTGTGTTATAACAGTATGTAAAGTGTGGAATTCAGGTCTTTGGCAGTTTTTTGGAGGTCAAAAATAGAACAGTTAAATCTCAGACTTAGGTGATTCTTCTTCAAGTAACAGCATCCTGTAATAGGAATGAAGTGCTTCATTGCTCACCTTTTCTCTCCTACACTGTCAGAAGTGAAACATGACAATCTTTGTCTTTTTTAGTGTGCATAAGTATTTTAATTCACATCTAAAGGCAGTATGTCCACTTAACATTCTGTATGTTAACAATGAACTTTACTGAGTCTTCCTTGAAAACTGTATTAGCAAGATCAAAGGCTTGAAGATTATAAACATTTTCATTTCTTCGGATATTTACATTTCATGAGAGCTGTGTTTTTTTTTATTTTATTTTGTTGTGATCACGTGTGTGGTAAAATCGTTTTTTAAAACTTAAACTCTTTTATGTTCATATCATTTGGGTCAAATGAAAGAGTTACAATAACTATTATGCAGATTTAATTTCTTTCTAGTTTCTTGGCTTTTATTTTTGTTTTGTTTTTAAATTGATTGTGCTGTTCAGTTCCTGGAGTTATTTTTCTCCCCATTTCAGGCCAGTTTGAAATCGAAAAAAGTTGTGAGCTACTTTTTCAGATGGCGGAGTCTGTTGATTATGATTATGATGTTCAAGATACCACTCTGGATGGCTTATTGATACTGCCGTGTTATGGATCCATGACAACAGGTAATTCCACATTAGAATAGAAAATTGACTGGTTTTTAAAAGATATTTTTACTTTATAGTTACAGTATTCAAAATAAAACAAACTCACTGCCATCAAGCCAATTCCAACTCATGGTGACCCTATATGTTCAAATTGAACTCTTTTTTTATAATTGGCACTCAGGCTCTGAAATCAAAACATTAACAGAATCAGCATTTCATAACAAGTTAATTCTGTAGTTGAAGTTTTCACATTGACTCACTTTTTCAAGTGCCTTGCACATCCCTGTTTATTGTTAGGAGTGGGCTTTGTTCTCCCAACTAAACAGAAATATCAATGGTAAATGCTCTGAAATGAAGAATATCATTTTCTGATGCCTGTACCATAAGTCAAGCCTAATTTGCTATGCTACAAACTTTATAAAACTCACATCTGTCCAGATATGTCTAAGGCTAAGCACGGTGGATAATTTTTCTTCTAAGGAATCTTGCATTACATAGTCTGCTTTTCAGAAAGGATACTATTTTGTGATTTGAAAGTTCAGGTGTAAATTCTTATTGTTAAGAAATGTGATAAATCCCTCAGGGCCAACAATGAGAGTAGAGACACTAGTAGGATTAGGGGAGAGTGGGAGGAAGAAAGGGGGAACCGGTCATAAGGGTCAATCTAGAACTCCCTCCCAGGGGGACGGGTAACAGAGAAGTGGGTGAAGGGTGATGGAGGATGATGTAAGATATGGAAATAAAAATCTATAACTTATCAAGGGTTCGTGAGGTAGGGGAAAGAAATGGGTAGCTGATAGCGGGCTCAAGTGGGAAGAGAATGCTTTGAAA